TTCGGCAGAGGCCAACTCATAATACTAAAAGCAATATGGAAGAGAGAGTAATTAAAATGATGCTGGAGTTTTGGTTATATTTTAATAAGTCAGTAAAACGGAATTGTGGATGATAGTTAATGTTGTTCTAAAGATCATTAGTTTTTGCCGATTTCTTAGTGGAGAAATTTTCCAGACTTTTTCCCCCCTTATTGTTTCCCTTACCAGCCACACCAGTCATAAGTGTCTTAGGGATCTAACTGCTGCATTATCAACATGGACTACAGTGAAGCTGTTGGCTTTCTTGCTCTAAGGTCAATCAGTGGGAGGAATAAAGATAGGTTTTGACCTCTTAATATTTCTTTATTTTGTAAGCAATACAGCATTTTTTAAAAAAGAATACAGATTTAGAATTTTAAAGATCACCTCTTACCCCACATGAGACATTTGTTTTCACATCAAAAAGCTTTTTAGTACATATATACACTTTATATCATGAATATGTATCATTCTAGCAGCAGTAGCAACAGCAGCAGTAGTTATAGCAGCTAACATCTACTGAACATTTATTATTTGCCAAATACAATTCTAACATCTGTATTAAATTTTCACAGCAACCCTGTTAGGTAGGATTTAATATTCTTCTAGTTTCATAGGTGGGAAAGCTGAGACGCAGAGAAATTAAACAACTTGCCCAGTCACATAGCTAATAAGCTGCAGACACGGAATTGAAACCCAGGCAGCCTGACTCCACACTGTAGGCTCTTGTTATTCACTCAACAATATATATCATGATCAGCTTCCAGTGAATTAACATCATCAATAGCATTGTCTTGATTGATGCATGAGATTCCATTTAACCAATCTCCCATTATTGGACATTTGTTTCCAATTTTTCCATGATACAAATACTGCTATGATAAACATACCACTATATACATCATTACATGTCTGTCCTGTTCTTTCCTTAGATAAAGCCTATAAGTAGAATTCTTGGATTATTTTTTTTGAGACTTTTGTACAAATTTTCAAATTGCCTTCCAGAAAGATTTCTTTTTAATGCTTACATTATAGAGTGTAAATTTCCATGTGTCACCAGTAATGATTATTATTCTTTCTAAGTCTTTGTCTCTCTGACACAGGGAGAATTGTATTTATTCTTTTTTTAAAAAAAATGTTTAGGGCTTCCCTGGTGGCGCAGTGGTTGGGAGTCCGCCTGCTGATGCAGGGGACACGGGTTCGTGCCCCGGTCCGGGAGGATCCCACATGCCGCGGAGCAGCTGGGCCCGTGAGCCATGGCCACTGGGCCTGCGCGTCCGGAGCCTGTGCTTCGCAACGGGAGAGGCCGCAGCAGTGAGAGGCCCGTGTACCGCCAAAAAGAATGTTTACTTAATTAATTAATTTATTTTTAATTTATTTTTGGCTGCGTTGGGTCTTAGTTGTGGCACGTGGGATCTTTCGTCGTAGCGCGCGGGCTTCTCTCTCTCTAGTTGTGGCACGTAGGCTCCAGAGCACATGGACTCTGTAGTTTGTAGCACTTGGGCTCTCTAGTTGAGGTGCACGGGCTTAGTTGCCCTGCAGCATGTGGGATCTTAGTTCCCCGACCAGGGATCAAACCGCATCCCCTGCAATGGAAGGCGGATTCTTTACCACTGGACCACCAGGGAAGTCCTGTATTTATTCTAAGGTTAAACTCTTTTTTCCAACGAGTTATTAGATATTTATATTTCTTCATTAGTGAATAGTCTGTTTTCATCCTATTTTATTGTGAGGGTGTATGATTTTTATTAAGGATACACTGTCATTATATATTAAAGAGGTTGAATTTTTGTCTTATACAAATACTTTCCCCAAGGAATTTTACATACAGATTGTCATTTTCTTCATATGTGAAAGTCTCAAAGACCATTCTTTAATAAAAAGAGGCTCAGAAAATATATGACTTAACCTTTATAAAAACAATTGAGGATGTCCTTCAGTCAGTGATAAATGAAAAAAAAAATTAGAACTCACAAATAGGGAAGTCAGTGTTAACAGGGGATAATTTTTAAAAGTACTATTTGGCGGTCCTTAGGTTCACCTCAAGAAATGCTTTATTTTCATATGAAAATATGAACCACTATGACCTATATGAACTATGGATCACTTTTGCTTTTCATCTATAAAAGTGTCTTTTTTTTTTGGCTGCGCTTCAGTAGTCATGGGGCGGTCTCAGTAGTTGTGGCTCGTGGGCTCTAGAGCGCAGGCTCAGTAGCTGTGGTGCATGGGCTTAGTTGCTCCGCGGCATGTGGGATCTTCCCGGACCAGGCATCGAACCTGTGTCCCCTGCATTGGCAGGCGGATTCTCAAGCACTGAGCCACCAAGGAAGCCCTATAAAAGTGTCTTTATTAAGATATTTTTTCTTTATAAGTGATTTTGTAGAAAAACAAATTCTCATTTTCAGAAATTTGACCTATACCCCACTATCATCCCAAAGGATGGATTTTTAAAACAGGTTGTAATCATGGAAGATGAAAATGCCAAAGGAGAGACTTTATAAGTCTTTTGAAACTTTTTGATGGCTGTCTAAGAGAATGTAGAATCTCTAGAAATTAATTTAATTCAAAAAATTTCCCCCCAAATTTAAAGATACTTCATTTAAATTGTATTAAGAGTCAAATGCTTCACAACTGTGTAGGACTTGGTGTGATCTCAAGTAACTTGGCTTAAAAACAAATTTATTGTAAGAAAATTATCTTCAGTGGAGACAGAGGCCTTTTTCCCCCCTTTTTTTGGTTTGGGAGAGGAAGATGAGAAGTGCTATTTTGGGGACAAGTCTCCCAACAGAAGAGAATCCTTTAGCAGCAAGAATAAACAGCTTTGGCAGAAAGCCACCCTCCAAAGGAAAAGGACTTAGGGCACGTTTTGAACTAGGGAGTAGTAATGAGCTCCAAGGCAAAAAGGATATCCCTGGCACAAGGGGTGGGTCAATACCAGACTGTCTGGGTGGAAATACTGCTTACAAAAGCTCCATAGAGCTGCTTCATTAGAAAGTGATGCATTTTGCGATACACCCCTTTTGCCAGTTCTCTAGGGAGGATTAGTTACTGTTCCAAGGAAGTGATTGTATTTTACTCAGGGCCACATTGTTCCCTTTAGGCTTCATTACGACAACAACAGCAGCAGTTGTAGTAGTAATAAAATATAAGTCCTACAAACCTGGATTGTTTTCTGACCCTTTTCCCTTCATTTTCTAGAAAATAAATCACTTATGCATCTACAAAAGTGGATTAATGATTAATTTGAAGGAGAGTCTCATCTTTCATTTTATAATGCTTTGAAATTCTTTTGTGATGCTGCATATATAGAAAATACTTTTTGCTCATTATATTTCTGGGGCGAATGTGGGTATGTATGTATGCTCACTCATGCATGCATTTAGCTTATATTTTCAAACTGATGTTTTCAGTAGAGGTAATTGCTATTTGTTTGAATAAATATACTTTGAGAGATGGATGAGAGGCAGCCATCCCATCCATGTGTAATTACATGTTTAATTATATGTGACATTGCTCATTTGGTGTGGTTGGATATGATATTCGTGAAGATTTAGCAGGATGGTAAGAAAAGCCAACTATTTGACTTAACCATTTGAGTATTCATTTCTCTTTGATTCCAAATTTCTGGCAGTAAAAACAGTGGGTGGAATGGCGGCAGAGATCCCCATACACATTCCTCCAGAGACAGAGAGAATAGAACTGCTCCAAAGCAAAGTTTCTTTTCTCACTCATTCAATTAACAGTCCTTCACTGAGCATTTACTATATGCGAAATACAGATTTGTTTTCTGTGCCATTCCTTCCTCAGAATCCACTCCTTGCTTTATAAAGGCCTCATTTCCTCCTCCTTCCCATAACCCCAGCAGACACACAGCGTCTTTACTGAAAAGGTCTGGGTCTTCCTGCATCGAAACTCAACTCCTGTATCTCCTTCCTCGAAGGCCTTGCTAGGGTGGAGTTTTATTTGTAATAATCTTTTTTTTTTCCCATAAATTAAACCCCAAGATGGAAAAGTATTTTAGAGAAAAAAGAAGAGATTAATGTCAGGAGCATTTTCTCATGTTATACGAACTTGTAAACATTTTAATGGCTGCTTGTTATTCCATTGTATGCCTCAGTTTCTTAACGTTCACCCAAAACTTGGTTCCTAATTTGGATTTATTTCCTTAGGGTGAGATTACTAAGTCATTGTTCATGAATATTTGTAAGACCCTTAATACAAATTGCCAAACCATTTTCAGAGAGTTTGTAGCAACTTATGGTCCCATTAAGGGTCTATTTACTGTTCATATTATAGCACCTTTACCCTCATCGAATACTAAAACTTTAAAAATCTTCACTGATTTTTGGGGTTTAATTTACGTTTTTCTTATTACTAGTGAGACTGAACATTTTCTACATGGTTATTAGACATGTTTCCTTTCTCTTTCCTGGGTTGTCTGTATATGTCCTTTGCCTGTATTTCAAGATTTTGTATTTTTGTTATTCACTTGTGTAAATTTATTTCATATTAAGGATGTTAACATTGTGTCTTTAATATTTATTTACCACATTTGGGTAAAAATCTCTCCGATTACATTATTTGCAATCATATTATCACTTAGAGCATATGGCTTATTTTGTTCAGTGAGATCAGCTTTATATCATTTTATGTAGGAGGTAGTTTTCAATGTTTAAAATATAAGAATACATACTTTAGAGTCAAGGAAAAAAAATCTATTCCAGAAACTTCGATAAAATGGAGAGTGTATAAGAGTTAAATTGCAAGGGACCTGGGTCCTATCAGTGCTTCTGTATTGACATTTGTATTCTTACTGCTTATTACAAAACTGTGAGAGCTATGCCCAGACGAAACACTTGAGGACAAGTAATGAAATGCTTTGGAATTTACTGGATTCCATATAAAATTCTAGTCATCCCTCATTCCTATACCTCTAGAGGCCCTGAATAGCAGCCCTTCATATGTTCTCCTTTTCCTTTTAGACAATTCTTCCTCTCTTCAGGAAGATGAAGAGGTAGAGATGGAGGCCATCAACTGGCAGGCCAGCAGTCCAGCTATGAACGGACACCCCGCCACTCTAGTGACCTCTGCTCGTTTCCCTAGCTGGGTCACTTTTGATGACAATGAAGTCAGCAGCCCTTTGCCACCAATCACCTCTCCTCTGAAGCCGAAAACACCACCTCTTGCATCTGTGATCCCAGATGTACCTTGTAACTCAACTGGGTCATTTAAGAAGAGGGAACGTCCCAAGAGCACTTTGATGAACTTCTCCAAAGTTCAGAAGCTGGACATTTCCTCCTTAAACCATCCGCCTTCCGTGCCTGAGGCTCCTCTTTGGAGGGCAACCAATCCTTTTCTGAATGAGACTCTACAGGATGTACAACCCTCCCCTATAAACCCTTTCCGCACTTTCTTTGAGGAGCAGGAGAGGCGCTCCCAAGACAATTCCATGTCTGGTACCACAGGCAAAAGCCAAAGAGATTCTCTCATTGTCATCTACAAGGATGCCATCAGTTTTGATGATTCAAGCAAAAACCAGTCACACTGTGATGCTGTTGAAAAACTCAAACGACTCCAACTTGAGGATCCCGATCACTTAGGGAGTACAACACTCCCTGATGATGACCCAATAGCCTGGACTGAACTAGATGACCACCCACCAGGTTCCGCACTGTCCCAGCCCAAGGATGGTTGGCCCATGATGCTTAGGATCCCTGAGAAGAAAAACATCATGTCCTCTAGGCACTGGGGACCCATCTACATCAAACTGACAGACAGTGGGTATCTGCAGCTGTATTATGAGAAGGGCTTAGAAAAGCCATTCCGTGAGTTCAAGCTGGAGATCTGCCATGAGATTTCAGAGCCCCGGCTCCAAAACTATGATGAGAACGGCAGGATCCACAGCTTGCGGATAGACCGCGTCACCTACAAGGAGAAGAAGAAATACCAGCCTAAACCTGCCGTGGCCCACGTGGCCGAGAGGGAACAAGTGATTAAGCTGGGCACCACCAATTACGATGACTTCCTGAGCTTCATCCGTGCAGTTCAGGACCGTCTCATGGACCTGCCGGTGTTGTCAATGGACTTGTGCACAGTTGGTTTGAACTACCTTGAAGAGGAGATTGCAGTGGATGTCCGAGATGAATTCTCTGGCCTTGTGAGCAAAGGAGACAACCAGATTCTCCAGCACCGTGTCTTGACACGGGTCCACATCCTGAGTTTCCTCTCTGGCCTTGCCGAGTGCCGCTTGGGTCTCAATGACGTCCTTGTCAAAGGCAACGAAATCGTTTCCCGGCAAGACATCATGCCCACCACCACCACAAAGTGGATCAAGCTCCACGAGTGCCATTTTCACAGGTGTGTGGATGAGGATGTATTCAACAGCTCACGGGTTATTCTGTTCAACCCTTTGGACGCCTGCCGACTTGAGCTAATGAGGTTCAGGACAGTATTTGCCGAGAAGACCTTGCCATTCACACTCAGGACTGTGGCAAGCATCAGTGGGGCAGAGGTGGAGGTGCAGAGCTGGCTGAGGATGTCATCTGGCTTCTCCTCTAACTGTGATCCTCTCACTCAGGTTCCCTGTGAGAATGTGATGGTTCGCTACCCTGTGCCCAGTGAGTGGGTGAAAAACTTCCGCAGGGAAAGTGTCCTGGGGGAAAAGTCTCTGAAAGCCAAAGTGAACCGGGGGGCAAGTTTTGGCTCAACTAGCTTGTCTGGCTCTGAGCCTGTCATGAGAGTAACTCTGGGAACTGCGAAGTATGAGCATGCCTTCAACTCCATTGTGTGGAGGATAAACCGACTGCCTGACAAAAACTCAGGTAGGCAGAGCTTTCTTTTCTGTGAAAACCGCCACATGGTTGTGAAAGAGCTGGGATCAAAGTTCCACATTCTCTTGCCCTATGAAGTGCTGGTTTTTGTTATGTGATAGGAATGATGATGGGGAGGGATGGGGGAATGGGGGACCAGAAAAACAAAAATATTTGCGCAAAGTACTTAACAAGCATGCATGACCCAGTTCACTCCATCTTTCTACTCTCTTACTATCACAGTTCTTCCATAAAACTACGCATTCTTCTTCTCAGCTGGGCTGCTGAGGAGATTTCCAAGGCAGCTTATGGTTCTGTATTCTTTTCTGACTCATTAAAGTTTTATCTGGTGTTGGAAGCTATCCTTTTCCAGATCCTAGAAGGCTTCTGGGCTTTGAAGAGATGTCTGTTGCCCCAAGTATAGGTAAAAGAGCCAGTTTATGGCCAATCATGTGTACAGTACAGGCCAAGAGTTAGATTTATGATTCCAGTCACCCTGTGCAAGGCCTGTCAATCATAACATCCCAAGTTCAGAGCCAGGATCTGGAGATGGGGAAGGGGCTTCTGATCAGACTGAAGATCCAGCCAGGACATGAAGGTCCAAAAGGACTGAAATCCAAAAGGACAGAAAGTAAGGGAAGGGATGTTTAATTTAAACAAAGGAGACAGTTTACCAGCCCTAGCTGGCCTGCTCACAGCTAGCAGGGGTGCTTCTGTGCTTGAGTGAGCCTGAAGGCAATGACTTTCCTCATGGCTCCAGTGAGATTTGGTGAAATGACAAAACTAAGGAGTAATCAAACCAGCTCTAATAGCTTTGTTTCTTAGAGTAAGTCTGGGTGACCCCAGTGGTAGGCAATAAGCCCATGATCCCGTGACCCTTTAAATCACTTTTCTTCTTGTTTATAATAAACTTCGCTCATCTGTTAAAAAAGTGGGTATTTGGGCCAGAAAAAAAAAAAGAAAAAGAGAGAGGTTTGGAAAAACTGTTGGTTAAAGTCTTTCTCTTATGCAGATATTCTTTTTTCCATTCTCACCATTAAATCCTAACAGTATGATTGGAGTCTTCATTTCCTGTTCTGAGTGTGGAGTGGCTGTGTTACCCTAAATGTAAAACAGTGTGAAGCCAAGAAGCAATACGATCTGGCCAACTCCCTAGGCAGGCCAGGCAGTGGACACACACCAGGGCTTTCTTGTCAGACACTGGGTGTAGCAGTGCAAACTGAAAAGACAATTGGACCTCTGTGTTTGAGGCTGGATTTGCCACCCCCTATTTCTAAACTGACAGAATTTTTAACATAAAGTCTTCCTCTCTGAGCTTGCTTATTCATTTCCCTAAAATCAGCACTGTATTCTCCTGGTGATAGCACTGTGATTTCTGCCTCAGCCATGAGGCCGATGTGAACTGATGGCAGAAAGGAGAAACCCTCAATTCTCCTTTGGCACGGATGCCCTTGAGAAGAGAACTGAGGTAACGGGGAAAATTACTGTTTAACCCGCAAGAGGCTTGACATGAGAAAAGACCTCAGGTTTATGCTTACTGGAATTTTTAGCTCTGCAATTTACTAAGCATGTATTCAGATCACTTCATTATGGAATAATTGGATTTTCGAGCTGGAAAGGACCTTGGGGATAACTTAGTCAAACCTCTCCATTCCACAGATGAGAAAATTAAGGACCGGGAGTGACGTGACTCATCACATCCAGGGGTCTTTTTTCTCCATACCACAGCTGCCTCTTAGTAGATGACACAAAACAGACACAAACTCAAAGTTACTTCCACTATGAGAACAGAGATTTTCAGTTTTCTCAGTGTGTACACACATACCCCATTTGTTTCAAAGTTCTTTCTCTCAAATATTTAAAAGTACCATGTGAGGGGCTTTATAAGCAGCAAAGACTGACTGGCTTCTTTTAGCAAAAAGAAAGAAATTGTTGGAAAGATACAGGTAGCTCACAGAACTGAAGGAAGAAACAGTCTTCAGAAAGGATAGCTCTTGATAGCAGGAACTGTGGATGTCTCCGCAGGCTGCAGCCTTTGGGACAAACCATCACAGGCCATTTTCTGTCCTTGTGCCACTTCCCAAGAGTAAAAGGGAGGACAGGGCATTTTGACTGACATGACCACCAAGATAACATGCAGTGCTGGGGAAGAGTATTTCTCGAAGAGGAAGAAAAAAGAAAAAAAAAAAAAAAAAGATTGTTACCAGAATAAAAAGGGAGCAGATGCAGGGCATGGAATAAATAGTCCTCAGCAATGACTTTCCTTAATGCTTCCCAGCGGGGTAGTGTTAAGTAGGCTCAAGGCCAAGTAAATGCAGCCTATATACTACGTATGTATTTCTAGATTACTGGAACCTTATTTGTCAATGATTTTTAAAATACATAAGGACAGCATAAGGATATTTGGGGATATTTCTCACTTAAACCTACCCCCCACTCAATTACTGCTTTTGCTGTCATGGTTGTGTATTTTTAGACATGAAATCCCCCCAAGAGCTTCTTATTTCTACTTCTGGCCAATGGTATATTTCTGTATCAGTTCAGGAAATTAATAGCACCCTTTTTCTGGAAACTTGAGATGTACAGGATCTGAATTCCAGTCAGAATGCGAGTTCTTACCATTGCTGGTATTCTCTGTGCCCAGCCCCTGCCCTCCCCATCCACTGCTCCATCCATGAAGCCAGAGAATTGACGATGATCTGTTAGTAACTGTCCCTTTTCTGAGCTCTTCTTAGTCTTGAGATAGCTTTGGGAAGGTGCCTTTCATAGGCCATTTTTCATAATCCTCACACCTCTATTTACAGTGAAAGAGGACTGAACCTCTGCACATCTGCTCCCACCTGCAGTGGCCCTGCAACCCTAGCCCCAACAGGTAGGATGGTCAGACTGCAGGGCAGCATGGGCCAGCAGGCTGGCATCCTGGGCTTTGTCGGCACCTCAAGTCTGCAGCCACAGCAGGCTTATCCCAATCAAGCCATCAAAAGGCTAACAAGCTGCCATTGGATTCCAACATGGCTCCCACCAGCAGGGTCCCTCTATCTGTGCTCTCCCAGGACCCCTCCCGTCCTAATCCCAAGAGCTTCCCTTTAATCCTAGAAGGCACCAGAACAAGTTTCTGTGCTTTCCCAGATTGTCTGCCAGGAAACAGAACATTCTGTTCTGCATAGGTAGCTTTCTTTGCTGGAATTCCAGTTCTCATTAGATCAGGTGAAGGGAAAACAATTCTAATATGATTCCCCTTCTATGGAAAATAGAAATCTGAATTTTAATATTAAATTTTCTCAGCTTCATCAAGGAAGATGACATAATGTGAGCTCATTAGTTCATTAACATGAATTAAATTATACTAGCTTTCAAAATTGTACTTCACTATCTGTCCACTAGCCCTACACATGCATTAGCTGATGCTAGAACTCAAGAGAGAATGTTGCTTTCATAGAATTTTCTGTGAATATGCTTTGGTGGGGTGAGAAGAGGGGGGTCAGTTTTGTGGAAAGTTATGATTTTCAGTGTTCCAACCATGTGTAAATAAGGGTAATTAGATAAAACTGTTGTTCAGGTTGCTACTGAATTAAGAAACTCCTCTAAATACTTTGTAATGATCTAAATCTATAGCAATATATTGAGAGGAGTGTAGGACATAATTTGGAGTCAGTTAGATAATGAGTTTTATTCCCAGTACTACAAGTTAATGGCTGTGTGACCTCAGGCAATTTACTTAAACCTTTCAGAGAAATCTCAAGTTTCCTCTTTTATAAAATAGGGTTATTAACACCTAGCTAATTAAGAATGGAATTAGTAATGTTTTTAAGTGTTTAGCACAGTCTCTGGCCTGTAATAAGTGTTCAGTAAGTGACAGCTATATAATTACATCTGTGGTACACAATTTAAAAAAATTGGATTCATTTTCAAATAATGTAATTTTTACTACTACATATATCTTAAATTCCTTTCCTAAAAAACTGCAATTTTTTCAATTAATTTTCCAAAGTATTACTCTCTAGAAAGACCCATTGAAATATGTTACATTTGTGAAACAGAGCAAAACAAATACTTCACTCTGTTATGTTTTCCTTGGAGAGCGGGTGTGTATGTCCTCAGGCTCCGAGATTAAAAAGTCCTGCCCAGACCAATAAAGGAAATTGGAACTGTTTATTTGGGGAAACTGGGATAAGTAAGGGCTGTTTCAGTTACATAATGAAGTCAGAGTCACATGGTTTATCCACAGTGAGTTACTTTATGGGTTTCTTACAGCTTCCTTTTTCTCCACCCCTGTCACCCTGCAAACCTGTCTTGAGGTTTGAGGACTGTGAGGTTATGACTCAGACAAATGGGTTAAGAACATCTGGGAGTCAGACTGCTGGGTCCAGTTCTTGGCTCTGCCACTTTCTAGCTATGACCTTGGGCAGCTGACCTTACCTTCCGAAGCCTTAGTTTCCTCATTTGTGCAGCGTAATAATTATGACCTCAAGGGACTGTTATGAAGAGAGAGAAGTGAGAGAATCTGCATAAAGCACAGTACTTGGCTTAGAGTTATCAACAAACGTTTCCTGTTACATCTGATGAACGAGGACGATGCTGCAGTGGTGATCGTCATAGAACTAAGTTCTCTTTTCCCTCAAATAATCTAATAACAATCCTCAAATGAAAATCAAACCGTAAGTTTGCCTTCCAAATACCGTAGAACTAGCCATAGATTTATAGAGTTAAATAGCGGTAAGGGACGATGCCTGGCATTATCCAGCCTACCCTTTTCCACCACCGCCCAACTCGCCACTTCACACGTGAGGAATTGAGGCCTGGAGAGAACAAAAAGGACTTGGGTGTGGGATCTCTGCACTTAGGAGAGCTGCAGGTCTAACCCAGGTATCCTGACTATTAGTCTGTATTCTCTCCAGCGTTCCACATGCTTCCCCTAAAGCATATGTGCTGTTTCTAAGCACTTTGTCATTTTTATATGCCGTTCACCAAAAAAACATGCCAAAAGCATTTAAAAAAAAATAACAGGGCTTCCCTGGTGGCGCAGCGGTTGAGAGTCCACCTGCCGATGCAGGGGACACGGGTTCGTGCCCTGGTCCGGGAGGATCCCACATGCCGCGTAGCGGCTGGGCCTGTGAGCCATGGCCGCTGAGCCTGCACGTCCAAAGCCTGTGCTCCGCAACGGGAGAGGCCACAACAGTGAGAGGCCTGCGTACCGAAAAAAAAAGAAAAAAAAATCCAAATGCTGGGCTTCCCTGGTGGCGCAGTGGTTGAGAGTCCGCCTGCCGACGCTGGGGACATGGGTTCGTGCCCTGGTCTGGGAAGATCCCACATGCCGCGGAGCGGCTGGGCCCGTGAGCCATGGCTGCTGGGCCTGCGCGTCCAGAGCCTGTGCTCCGCAGCAGGAGAGGCCACAACAGTGGGAGGCCTGCATACCGGAAAAAAAAAAAAAAAAAATCAAATGCTATTAAGAAAATTCATCTTCCAAAGGAAATTGATGATTTTGCTCCAGGTGGCCATCTTTGATGTTTTAGTAGGTGCTAAGTGCTGATCTCTTTTATTCCTTTCTGCCAATCTACAACCTCTATTTCATAGTATTTATACTGTGTTCACGTAGCACTCTGACCTGAGCAGGCAGAATGCACTCCATTTCTCAGGTCATGGGTTTTATTGCTAGGATACCAGGCTACTGTAGTCAGATAGTGTTATGTCAAAGGGTCTGAAGCACATGCAGTGTGATTTCTGCCGAGGCAGATCCTCTGCTCAGCGTTGGATGCTCTTAAAGACTGCCAGGCCTCCTTTTGTTTGTTATTGAGGCTCTTCCACTTCCTCCCCAAAGAACCTGAACCCTAGATTCTTTGTCTTTCTTTCATAGCTTCTGGTCACCCACACTGTTTCTTCTGCCATCTTGAACTTGGCTCTGACCGGGAAGTGCCTTCCAGATTTGCCAATCACATTAACGTCGAGTTCAGCATGCCTACAACTTCTGCCTCCAAAGCTGCCGTAAGATCCATCTCTGTGGAAGACAAGACCGACGTCAGGAAGTGGGTCAATTATTCTGCACACTACAGCTACAAGGTAGCCTCAGGAGGCATCTGGCTCATGTTTCCAAGTCTGTCTGTGCACCCCCATGCCCTCCCCCTTCTCATTCCTTTTAGCAGTGCCTGCCCAGGGTGCAGGGTATTCTCCTACCACCTTGCAGGCGGTTTACCATGCATAGCTGTGGTTGAGTCTGCTCTGAGTTAAATGAATAATCTCTCTAGCAGGCAAGAGAAAGGTTGGAAAGAGAAGTACAGGCTGATGAAGGAGGAGTATATAATGTCTTTCAGTCATCATGAACAACAACAGAGTAATGGGGTAATGGGATTATTATTACTCATTTGTCATATAATTTATGTGCAGGGGAGTGAGTTTGGAAGTGGAGAGAGGGTCAGGAAAATGCTAACCCAAAGCATATATTTCAGCTACAGGTGTTGATGAAGTGGATCTGAATGAAGTTTACATAGTGAAGTATGACACAATGTATGACAGTATGTCATAGTGAAGTATGACATATACCAAGTCATACAACCTGGTCACTGGGCCATAACTGGACAAACTCAAAAGCCAGGCAAGCTTCTATAATAGTAACAGGATCAGGGCTGTGAAGGAGGAAATGAAGTTGGAGATTTCCGACACAAACAGTGATTGTATCCTGAGTAGTTAGAAATTCAATAGGAGATTATATGCCAAAGACGGAAAACGGGGTTACTGAAGAAGGATTTGGCAAAGTGGTTTAATAATTTCCTATTCGTAATAACATCCTTAGATTTATATGATCATTTAATTGTTCTTTAAATATTTCCTTACTTGTGTGATTTAAAACATTAAACTACCAAAAAGAACAAATACTCCATCTTGTGGTCAGGAAAAAACCCAGCACTTTCCTCAAACATGACCCTAGTCAACTGTTCTGTCTTGAATTGTTTCCCTCATCATAAATATCCAAGTGGTATTGAGAAGAGCGGCTTTAATTATGAAACTCCTTCAGCTCAAAGGATTCCCTGCCTGATTTATCAAAGGCTTCAGATGAGGTATATCACTCTCAAGGCAAGATTAATTTATTAATCTCTTTACAGTTATAGCTACAGTATTTTCCAAAAGATATAGGCAGAACCGTAAACACTACAATACTTATCCATTTGGAGACTTTTTAAAGGGATAAAATAACAGAGAGTGTAAAGAGCCAGCTGCAAAGGAATTCATTCATTTGATAAACCTTTGTGATTGCCTGCTGTATGCCCATATTATAGGGGTACAATAGTGAACAAGGGCCTGCCCTGTCCTACGAAGTCTGTGGTGTAGCGGGTACAGGGTGTAGTGGGAATATACACAGAGGAGCACCTGACTCTACCTGGTGAGTCAAGAATAGCTTCACAGAAGAGGTGACCTTTGAGTAGCTGTGTAAGGCAAAGAATAAGAATTTTCCAGGTGGACTGAGAGGGAGAGGAAATCCAGACCAAGCAAAGGGCATGTGCAAAGACAGAGCCATAATATACACATGGCCAGTAGCTTGGTGTGACTAAAGCCCAGAACATTAACCAAATTACAAGGACTCTCAAAGAACCTAGTGAGCTTTTCTCTTTTGGTTTATTTATTTGTTGGGATGTTTTCCTGATATTTCTTCCGATATTTCTCTCCAACTTCTATTCTTGACAGGTGGAAATTGAGCAAAAAAAGAGTTTGAAGCCAGACTTTGAAAGAGATGAAATGGAAAATCCCAAGGAGTGTGGGGTCCAGTGATGAAGCCCTACTGCAGGGGGCCCTGACCTAAGCATCACGACAGGATGTCTTCCTGAATAGCTGAAGTTCAAGGCACTGCCTACCATGGCTACTCCACGTTGGGAACAGTGTATTGGACCTCCCTGTTTGTAGTTACCTGTATTCTAACAGGAAGCCCTAAGGTGCTTGCTTTGGAGAGGCTCTGATCATGCCTGAAGCACCTGCATCACCTGACTTTTTGGAGCTTACTGTATAATTAAGCCTCCTCTCCACTCTGCTTATCTCACAGCACTTGGGTATGGTTTGTGACTGATAAAGTCAGGAAAAGAAACTCCCAACATCACTGTTGGCGTGATTTCCTTCCGATGTTCATCTGTCACTTACATCAGTTTCTGGAAAACAATCTTGAGAAGTTAATTAACTAAGACTCCATCCCTGTCACTCCCCTTAGAAAAAGTTGAGAAAAGGTACAAAACCGGTTTCCTCTTTGGGTCTGCTAGACCTTTCATAGGTGTCTCCATTCTTCAAATGTTAACACTGTGCAACAGAAGTTTTTGAGATGCTTCCCTCCTGGTTCTAGATAGTGTTGACTGAAACACTTTTTCCATCTTTCTAAGGCATCAGTCCCAGGGTTCATCACCCTGAGTCACAGTAGACAATGGAAAAAAGGCACAAGAGGACACTTCTAAATTCTGTGAGTAGCCCCACATTCTGCAAAGAGTGGCTATTGATGGGAAAGCAAAATTGAGCTTACTTTTCTTCATTCTGGGGAAAAAGAACATTCATTGTAAGATTATCTTCAATTCAGGAGACAGCTTAAATCTCAGTGAATTTCCAAATTCACACTGAAAAGTATAGGCCATTTTTGATTCCTGAAACAGATGGATACATGTATCTCAGGCATCTGTCAGGGGCATTTGGGAACTCTTTTTATACCTCATAGCCAATAGACAGCTGCGTGTCTCTTTAACTCAAACTTTACAGGAAATATAAGTTGAAAAGATCATTTTAAAAGCCGTTTCAAAACTGAGCTTGTATGAGCCTTTCCTAAAAATTCAGAGTTTGATAATCACAGTATTGTAACAGATCTAAAAGGCAGAAGACTCTAGGGTAGAGATGAGGGAAAGCCATATTCTTCTAATGTTGGGAACACTAAATCCTGATTCCAAGAATCTAGGACATTCAATATTCTTTCTCTTCATCTGTTCCAGCTCACATTCTGTACCTCTGCATCCCAAAGAGGATACGAGCTCAACAATTTAAAGGCAGCTTTAACCTGCCTTCCTGTTTCTCCCATGAAGAATAGAGTAAGGGTTATCTGATTTGTAGATGACATAGAAATAGACATATAACTTAGTCTGTTGACTGGCAGATTCGGGATTAGTTCATTCCATGAATATTCACTGAATTCTATGTATTGACATTAGGATATAGAAATCATTGTAATTTTTTGAAATACCTGAACATAAGACTGAAACTAAAAGGATGAAATTAAATAGGCATTAATGAGAAACTCTATATTCTGAGTTTCTTAAATGCAGCCCACTAAGTACAAAATGGGGTACCTATGTGTGTACGGATGTGTGTGTTTAACTGTGTGTGTTAATGGGAAGGGTGTTGGAAAGTCCTGGTTTCACAGCAGTTTTTGTATAAAATGTTTTCTTGGGGAGATGAGTTCAGTTTTGAATCGGGAGTATATCATAGCTATTCACAGAACTAATGCATTCAGCCTGTGGTAACAGAAGTCTAGGGAGTCCTGCATGCTGCACTGGTCAGTCCACATCTGGATGAAGGGCTGGGTTCAATTCTGGGAACCACATTTTAAGAGAGATGTTAATAAATTGATTGTGTCCAGTCAGGTGGCCAGGGTTGTGGAGAGTGTGATTATACATGGAATAGGGGAATACTTCCTCTGAAGAACAGAAGGTATAGCTGGAAAGGGAAAAAGAGGGAATGATACAGTAGCTGCCTTGAAATCTCTGTTGAGCTATAAAAGGGGAGAGGAACGGGACTTTTCCTGTGTTGCTTCAAAGGGCAAAAAGAGGAGCTTTACAGATGACAGATGTTTGCTTCAATATAAGAAAGAACTTTGTAATGAGTTGTTCTAAAGAGGAATGGACTCAAACAGTAAAACTTCCAGTTGCTGCAAATGCCCAAAGGCTAAAATAACCCATCCTAAATGCTATGAAAGGGACTCTTAGATTGGATTTGGGCTAGATTCTTAACAAGATCCCTTCTACATATAGGTTTCATTTCAACAGTATTAGGACTCTGTTTTTAGTTTGATAAGTGGTTTTTCATGCTCTTTGAAATACAGTGGAGTCCCCTAGAGGTCTTTGTCAACTGAGGACTCCAAGGCCTAGCCCTTCCCCTGTTGTGCTAAAAGCACATGAGATTCCTTATAAAAACATTGAAATGGGTTGAAGAGTTGGCAAGGTGAAGGTCATTCTACCACCTTCTTTACACAAGGTTAGCACCTGTGCACCCTCTCAAGATCTGTGCTTCACCTGCTAGCATCACATGTGTATCGGTGGTTGGACCCTTTTTTCCTGTTGGTTAATTCTCATTGCCTTTGTACTTTCACCTGGACATTTTTTTTTTTAAACCAAGGGATGGGGAAATCCTTTCCATGCTATCTACATTCAGCAATCATTATCATTCATTTTTAAAAACCTACCACCTTGATTTCATCAGATTTGTTTTCCCTCTACTGTTTTTTGGAAGTTGATTATGGGTAGCATTTAGGGGGGTGGGAAATATAATACTGTATATTTTTAGATGTAGTTTTGTTAATAGCCTACATAGAAAACACTGTTGGGCAAATACCTTTTTGATATGCAGATGCTAAGTTTGCCACCCTGGACATGGATTTTGTGTGTGTGGCCACAAATAATCCTTGTCTATGTTATCAGTAATGTGAAAATATTAGAAGTGAGTTCATTTTACCAATACATAGTCTTACTATTACTATTAGAATATAAATTAGATGTCCCATGATATTAAGAGCTGTGCTTTTTTTTTTGAGACTGGTGACTTCCTTTTTTGACTTTATAGTAAAGGAGGATGAGAGATGTACTCATGATATATCAAACGAGACTATGAGGTACTTCGTGGGTGCACCATTAAACTCCCTTTGCCACTCTTGTAAATATACTAGTTATGCCTTATCAAAATTGTGTTATTTTACTTATATGAAATATAATCTGGACAGTTTTTTTTTTCTCTTCTATTTTCTTCTCCCCGCCACCCCCCACCCCATGCAACCCTCCTGCATTATTGGCAGGGCTCATAACCCTTGAGAACATTTTTTTTCTTTTTGGCTGTGCTGCACGGCTTGTGGGATCTCAGTTTTCTGATGAGGGATTGAATCCAGGCGACTACATTGAAAGCGCCGAGTTCTAACCACTGGACTGCCAGGGAATTCCCAAGAACATTCTTTTAATGTAAAATATTTCTTATTTGAAATTAGAGCAATTTCCTTTCAAATCCTGTAGATGAGGGCAGGAGCTTATTTCCCTAGAAATTCATATTCCCAAGAAATGTGATCCATGGAGGCAAGAAATGGCTCTTATTCTTTGTTTCTAGTACCTACCACCAAGTTAGTTTGGAATATAATAAGTTTCAGCTACCTTAAATCCTGTGCTGATAGGACAAACAGATATTAATGAAATAAAGGAAAATTACTTAGGTATTCAATAAATGTTTGCTGAATGCATACTGACGCTTAGACTCTAAGGCTACCTAACCCTTACTTATCATCAAACACATTAAAGCACACAAGCATGCTTCTATTTCCTGGAGAACTTAAATAATTTTTCTTTCCTTGCCTCCACTGTCAACTAGTGATAACTGTCAGCACTTAAGCACTTAATGTGCATCTGAACTTAAACTACAGTATATCTTATTCATACTGAAAAACATTTTTATGCCCAAAGATAACAGTAGCACAGATGCTGTCACAGTCCAGATTATTGATTCAGTTTTGTTCTTGCAAGTCAGACAGCTCTGTGAGCCTAAGCCTTGACCATTCGAATGGTGAGAGGGAGAAGAAAGCATTTAATAGAGTACATGGGCAGTCTTGGTGTGCTAGGTCTTTGTTTTCCCCAACATTAACCACTGACCAATGTTACTGCGCATTTATTTTGTCACCATAGTAAGAAAGATGGAGGCCTGGGGTAGTAAGGCTGAAACGTGTGAAGTGACATCATGATTTCAGAGCTGCTTTAAATCTCATAATAAGTTTCGTGGTGGGAAAACAGAGAATGATCTGAAATTTTTCTTAAAAACCTTTGAAATATTAAGTTGATTTGACTAGGAAGCACTGCCATTTAGCATACTTTAAAAATTTTTCCCAGGTGGGAATGGTAACTTTAACTCTTCTACGAATGATGATTATAAGTTAATTCTAGCATATCTAGAGTTTAGGTCATGTTAAGAATGCAACAGGAAATTCAAACAAAACTGACCAAAAAGCTAAATCCACAAAAAATATTATCTAGTAAAGGAATTATCTCTTAACATTTCACTAACAAGTGTCATTCAAAACATGACAGCTCTTATATAAAATTAGTCATAGCATTTTCACCAACTTCTAAACATATTGTCATTACCAATGTCTAAGTGCCAATTCCCTACAAGTCACCATCTCTCTACCATTTAATTATGTTCTTTTTAAATGAAACTTGCTTTGGATATTGTGACTCATATTTATGTATTTAAAGAATTAAAAGTGAAAGAGACATAAATGTAGAAAATAAATGTGTGTGTCAGTAGTATTTTCCCATGTATTAACTAAGGTAGGAATATGGAATTTTTACATTTCTTATACTGTGCCTTAGCAAACCTGATTTAGAGTCTAGTCCTTTTAACAATTGGGGAAAAAAAAAAAAGTATCTCTGAATTTGCAATTCCAGGCCTGTAAAGGCAGAAACTATCCATAGCAATGTGTTTGGTAGTGCCTGGAGAGAGGCAAATAATAACTGCATGTAATGAAAAGCTATAAAAGAACAGAATCAAAAAACAGAATGGCAATATGAAAAAATATAGAGAAATGACAAATACAGCACTGGCCACCAAACCTCAAAATACTTGAACTAGGGGCTTCCCCGGTGGCGCAGTGGTTGAGAGTCCGCCTGCCTATGCAGGGGACACGGGTTCTTGCCCCGGTCCGGGAAGATCCCACTTGCCGCGGAGCAGCTGGGCCCGTGAGCCATGGCTGCTGAGCCTGCGCGTCCGGAGCCTGTGCTCCGCAACGGGAGGGGCCGCGACAGTGAGAGGCCTGCGTACCGCAAATAAATAAATAAATAAAAATACCTGAACTAGAGGCCATCCCTTAAATGTAAGGAGCTCCAGGAATAATAAAAGATTGCCTAGCAGGGATAAACAACAGAATTAATTCAGTTCAATAAGTATTTGGTCAAGGTGCTGTCCCAGTAACTAGCTTCCCTAAAGGGAGCTAAGGCCAAACACAAGGACACGGAGGACTGTTGATGTAAAGACATTGGTGGGCGTGCCCTTTATCAAGGGAGAATTGGGGTTTCTCTGAATCTTTAAAGGACACAGTCATGAAGACAATCATCATGTTAAGTCACTTGCAATTTTCCCAGTTGGGCTTCAGAAACCTCAGCTAAAAAAGTGAGGATGCTGGACTGACTGTTCCCTCAGATCCTTTCCAGCTCCAGTGTTACGGATTATTTTAAAAACTGTCTTTGGTGCCACTGTCAGTGATACTTCATGTCAATAGGACTCTTCATATAATCTTAAGA